CAGAGAACGCTGTGTGCAAATTCACATCCAAATTATTGGGACTCAGCCAGATTTGAAGTCACATGTGGGCCAACCAGGTAAGGATGGCACACCTCCTTCCCGACAGGACATTAGTGAATTAGATGGATTATATAATAGTTGACAATGGTTACATGATCGCCATTAGGCCAGCTGTCTGTTACAGATTTTTATTGAATTCATGTGTCACCATCTGCCAGAGTCGGGTTCAAACCCATGTCTCTTAAAATAAAAGGCAGTTAGAAAGATCTTAACTCAAACAGCAAAACAATGTTTCAAACTGTTCTCTAATACTGCCTATGTACAGATATTCAATTCCAGAGAAATTTTACTCCCCTCTCAATACTTGAATTTTTTAACTGACTCCTCCCACTTTGTTTTCCATAGACTGTAGAAGCAGTTTGGCCTGAACATTTTTTAGTTCTAACAACTTGAAGATTTCTATCCAAACCTTCTTGGCTTGGTCCATTCACAGCAGCATTTCAGCTTCTTGACTGGTTGCCCTGAACCAAAACTTGATTCCCCTACTTGGAGAAACTTTTCTCCCTTCTGGACTGAACACTCTGTATTCAGAACTGAGACCTTGAACCATCTGCTTTGAAGTCTAAACTGAACAAATGGCTTCCTGGTCTGTTGCAAACTCAGCAGTATCAACATTCCATCCATTAACAAAACAGGGTTCTCATGCCTGCTTGCAATTGATGCATTTGGGTCACTGTTCCAAACCATTTTCTGACCTGTTTTTGGAAAAAAAACCTTCCATCTAACTGACCTGATTCATCTTGCTTCATTTTAAATCCAAACTGACTGACATTTTGCTTGGGACAGAGAGAACAAGGTGAGGAGAACAAAGTGAAATAAAGTTGGTGCTTTCTGTTTCTGGGCTGTTGTGATTTATTTTATATTGGCTTGTTTTTCAAGAATAATCTCTTTACCCTGTCTGAAAGGCAATTGTTCTTGATGGTTAGTGTCAAGGATATGTGAATAAACATATCAAAACATAAAAATTAAACCTGCCTCTCAGCATGCTGCAGTTTTTTAGCTGAATGGTCAAGTACAGTTGTGCTGTCTTTGTATTGAAGCTGCAGAAATTTTAGTACGAAACAGTTTACTGACAGTGATTTTCTTTTTTCAGGATTTATGCTCGAACCAGATCCAGACAAGAGACCTGACATTTACCAGGTGTCATACTTTGCATTTAAACAAATTGGGAAGGAGTGCCCCGTCCAGAATGTCGGTGTAAGTCCAGAAATAATAAGGCTTTGTCAAGCTAGGATCGAGGTGAAGAATGTCACATACACTCTGTGACTTAGTCACACAAATAGAAAGACTGATGGTGTTTTGAGTGCAATTTGTTTCAGCTCCTGTGTACTGAGATAGAGAACCGTATACAGGTGTACATGTGTTCATGTGACAGTTTCCTGATGTTTTGCATCAAAGGCATGTGTGAAGAGAGCATTTCTGAATAAAGCAAGACTATCAGAAGAAACTGAATACTCACAGTCAAAAAGCCAATTAATGATTGTGCATGAGTGACTTGTCTTTAACATATCCTTGATACTAAACCACATTACTGTATAAATTAGAGTGCGCTCTGCCAAAGTGTCTTAGGATTATCTGAAAGCTTGACAAGCCTACTTGGAAAATGTGCAAAACAATTTAAGCTGGTATTAAGTGCCGGAAAGATCTGTGGTTCTTTAATGGATTCATTAAACCAAATTCATCTGTTGTGCATTCGCATTGAACAATTTTCTGTCACTGAGCTATCTGAGTCTTGACACAGCCAGCATCATCAGATCTGTGATATGACTTCTGAGAATAGAAAGTATAAGAGGTTGTGAAACATAGGAAAACAGAAACTGCGAGAGAAACTCAGCAGGTCTGGCAACAATCTGTGGAGAGGAAACAGGTAACGTTTCGAATCCAGTGACCCTTCTTCAGAACTGGTTACTGGACTCAAAACGTGAACTCTGTCTTCTCTCCACAGGTGCTGCCAGACTTGCTGTGCATCTCCAGGAATTTCTGTTTTTACATGTTTCAGTTAGCCAGCATCCGCAATTGTTTGTTTTATTTTGGTGTGACAAGTTGTGTTGAGTCTGTGATGGCTGAGCTGAGGAGAAATAATGTGCATCAGCCTGGGTTTTGCAGTTGATGTAATAATAGCTTTGTTTTACAGAACTCTCCCATTCCAGCCAAGCTTGTTGAGCCAGTTAAAGCCAGTGAAGCTGCAGCTAAGAAGACACAGCCCAAGGCAAGGTTAGCACTTTCATATATCGGCTTGCCTGTAATTAGGCAAAGGAGTATTTGCCTGGAATCACTCCAATGACTATGAAAAAACAGCATCAAGTCTTGGATTTTATATGGTGCTTTTTGGGAAGGGGAAATCTTTTGAATCCAGGGAGTGCAAATGCAAAATTGCCAAGTCTTTTGGGTTTCAGTCAGGTTCACCTTGTTTTTTTTTGCTCAATGCAATTTGATTTGCTTCTGGCTTAAAGGACTTACTGTGCATTACAGACTTGGCTAACTTCTATGTATCAGTCTGGACAAGGAGATCTGTGTTGGGTGTTCTATTGGATCAACACTTCATTTCCACCTGGATTTTTCCCAATGGAGAGAGCCATTTATACAATGCCCTAATTCACCTCCCAAGTGGCTCACAGACTGTTAATTATCTTGGAATACAGTGACTGTTGCACAGACAAATCCCCAAGTCATTCAGCTACGAGTTAGTTATTTTTAATCCAAGTGGGGAACGTTGGAAACATTTCCTTGTTCAGAAGAGCGCGAGTGTGTGGAATTTGCCAGAGGCACAGGAGTCCATTTAAAAAATATCTAAATAATCAGATGTTGGACAAAGGAATAGTCAGTTGTGCTTGTAAAGTTGGTGGTGGAGACGATGGATGTTGTGCCGATGAAGTCGGCTGCTTTGTCTTAGGTGGTGAGAGTTGTTGGAACTGCACTCACCTGGGCAAGTGGGGAGTGTTTCATTGCACTTCTGACTTGTTTTGGACAGGATTTGAGGAGTCAGGAGATGACTTACTCGCTGCATGATTTGGAGACTCTGACCTGCTCCTCTAGCCTTTAAATGGTTCGTTCAGTTCGTAATCACTCCCTCCACCACTGACGCTCAGTAGCAGCAGTGTGTACCATCTACAAGATGCACTGCAGAAATTCACCGAAGATCCTTCATCAGCATCTTCCAAACCCAAGACCTCTTCCACCCAGAAGGACAAGGCCAGCAGATAAATGAGAACAGAACCTGCTGCAAGTTTTCGTCCAAGCCACACGTCATCCTGACTTGGAAATCTATTGCTGTTCCTTCAATTTTGTTGGTTGAAATCCTGGGATTCCTTCCCTAATGGCATTGTGGATCTACCAACACACACTGACTGCAGTGAACAATGTTTGCTACCAACTTTTCAGTGTGAACTAGGGATGGGCAATAAATGCTGGTCGAGCTAGCATGAATGATTAATAAAAAATGTACTGGTGAAGCTAAGTCATGAATCCTTTTGCTATTGTGCATCCATGTTGTGACTGAATCTGTTCCCTTTGCTGCCGCTCCCAGTGCTCCTGTCGCTGGTTGCTGAATAAAACCTGTACTTTCTGGTTCCTTTCCTCCTGTAGTCGTTGGAGGAGCCACTCATTTGGTGCCTGACCAGCAGGAGAGGGAGAGTGTCTGTTTGGATTTGGTTTTATTCACTTACAGGATGAGGGTGTCGCTGGCTATGCCAGTATTTATTGCCCATCCCTAATTGCCCAGAGGACATTTATGAGTCAACCACATTGCTGAGGATCTGGAGTCACATATCGGCCAGACCAGCTAAGGATGGCAATTATCCTTCCACACAGGACGTAAATGAACCAGATGGATTTTTCCCTGACAAACGACAAAGGTTTCATGGTCATCATTAAACTCTTATTTCCATATCATTATTGAATTCAAATTCCACCTTCTGCCATCCAGGATTTGAACCCAATCTCCAGAGCATCAGCTGATTTTCTGGATCAATACTCTGACGATAATACCACAAGGCCATTTCCTCCCTACAGCAGACAAGCTTTGCTTGAACACAGATTGCAAGTGACAAATGGAAATCAATCTCACTAAATTTTAGGCAGTTTGGTTTGGTTGCAGGCTAGGCACTTTGAAGGGAGCACCACAGATAAACCAGTATAACAAAAGGATAAATGGATTCCTTGGTTTTGAGCCCCTCAACCCTGAATTCGAAAACAAGGTGATACTGTATTTGTACAAAATCAGTGTGGTGCAGACATACAAGTCATTAGTTTGTTCTCAGTTCTGACCCAGTGGAAATTAGACATGAGAAGCTACAAAAAAGGTATAGTGCTGATTCACCAGGGTGTTAACAGCAAGAAGGCTTTTTGAGTGCAAAAGACTTTCTCATATGAACTGAAGATGTTGAAGTGAGATGTTAGGAACATGTGGCCTGTTTTTTTGGATCTTAAAGAATTGTAATTATGTAAATAGAGATCGATTTTTGTTTATACTAATTACTGAGATTGTAACCACATGGCACGAAATGATGGTTAAGAACCGTTCTCTGTATAACGTCCTGAGCCCTCTGCCACATTTTGAAGCAACATCTGTCTGTGAACCTTTTTAATAGGAATCAGTTGCTTGAAAAATGGGAATATTGAAACTAACAAGGAATGAGAAGCACAATGGGGTTTTAGACCAGATTGTTCCTGTTGTGATATCAGTCCAGTTCAGAGATAAAAAGTGGTCTGGTGTCATCTAATCAACTGAACTTCTCCTTTTCCAAGACTGCGGAGTCAAAACAAAAGACTGTGGAAGAGGGGGAGAGATAGTTGCATGTAATAATGTGATGTGTTGTGGTGTCCTTCCCATAAATGAACACTTGTCCTCATTTCTCAGGCTTACAGACCCAACTCCACCGACTGAGACCTCAATAGCTCCTCGCCAAAGGCCGAAAGCTGGACAGGCTCCAGCCAACCCAGGCATGCTGCCCATCCAGCCTTCTCTGACCCCACGGAAGAGGCCATCTACCCAGGCAGTCGTACCGCCAGCAGGTCAGAGACTATTTGTCATTGTTTTTGGCAGCATGTACCTATTTGCCACTTGCTATTTGTCTCATTAGCCTTGAACAATCATGTTCAATGCAGCAATTCTGCTTCTTCAATATGTTTGACTTTCAAATAGAAACGTAACACAGAGACACCGATTAATTTGATAAAAGGCTTATTTTTGATGCGAGCAATGTTCAGAATGTTCAAAGATGTCGTCACTTGATATCCAATTGCTAAACCTTCCATGTTTTGGAGCCCATTTATCAATGAAGAGAATTGTCAATTTTCTGGTTGCACTCGGACATTCCTTAATCTGAGTCTTTGCAGGTGAGAAAGTCAGGAGCACAAAATCTCCTCCACTCAAGCCGACATGACTTGGCTTATCTCTCACTGTGAAACTAGGCTGGAGTTTAGGCAGAGTCCAGAGCTATTTTATCTATCAACATCCTTGTGGGATCACTGGATAAAGAAGACCATTCACTTCATGATAGCTCTCCAGGAAGTCTTAGTAGTTTCCCCATTTATTAAATAGTTCCAGAGGTTTCTCCCGATTACTGCAACAAGAAATTCATTTTCTTTGTTGCGTGAACAACCTTCTGATATCTGTCCTCCATGTATCTTTCACTAGTTTGAGTCTGATTCCTTGAATAAAGTCTGACAATTTCGTTTGAAATCATTTTCCTGATGCCTTTTCTTCATGCTATCTTGTACGTTTTTTAAAAGATCACACCATGTCTCCTCCTTTGAGGGCAAAAATGAAAATGCGGTGAAACAACTGCACAGAGGCCAGTATCCTGTCACCAAGTCACCCTTTATTTACTAGTGCACAGTACACTGGCTATGGCCAGCCAGCTCGGAGTCAGTCCTCAACTGAGGAGATTCTAATGTCCTGGTTATATTGGTCAGCCAAGGCTTTCCTGAAGGGCCCAGATTAACAACCCCATCAAGAACCTCGTAGTCAACGAGGACTACCTGGTTCCAGTCACTTCGTGCAGATTTATCCTTTCTCTTCATTTGCTGATGATATCTTAATGAATAATCAACATAGTAGCATCTCTCTGCACTTTTGTCTGTTGCTCAACTGTTTGCCTCATATCTCGCTGTCTTGAACTGGATGCAGCAAAACTATAGTCTGGTCTGGCCCCTACGCAGTTTGATTGTGACTACCACTGACTTGTGCTCTACTGCTTAGACGAAGCAGTTCAGACTTCTTTCTGCTTTATTTCTTGCTTTTCTGTGTTAGATAGACAAGTTGAAGATCGCATTTGCTAGGATTCTTGGGTTTCTTTTGTCCGAAGTTGCTGCAATACCATCAGTAGGGTTTTTTGTTTCTGCTGCTGTTGTTTTGCTGTATCTATTTTCTGTCATTTATTTTGCAATTCCCCAGCCACTTCATCATTATCTCCTTCTCATCAGTATCATCTGCAAATTTGGACATCTTGTGTATTTCTGAAAATGGATTGCTGAAGTAATCTGGAGTATAGATCCCAATTCTCATCCCTCAGCATTTTATCTCCCCAACAACTTACCCATTCCCAAAAGTTGTTTGGAAACTGCACCTTCTTGAGCTTGATCAGATTCTTCTGTGTCTTACAGCGCCACATTTTAATGCTACCCACCACCCAATTGGGATGTTAACACGACGACAAACCTCCCCTCCTTCATTTCCAATTGAGCCATGAGCCATACACCGGCCCCTAACATCTCATTTGAAAGGCTGCACCACATTCTCAGTCCTGGCTTTGAAATTCTGAAACTGGATTTTGTGTTGGAATCTTTGGTGAGATGCTGCAACCCACAACCTTATGAGTCAGACGAAAATGTTGTCCACTGAGTCGTGAATAAACTCCAGTTTCGCTTATGTCAGTTGTAGCTCTTCACGTTCCTTCTGAATGTTGCTTTAATTCAACTGTAAGACTTCATCTCTGCAAGCAATTATTTGGAGGTAGTAATCATTTAGGATATTAATTATCTCAAGGCTATCCTGTGTGCCCTAAGTTTTTCTTCCATTCTTAAACGTGCTTTCTCTTTTTTTCTGCTTTCCCTCCCTTTTGTGCCTCCATGGTGTTGCCCGTCTGTGCCTAATCTTCTCCAGTCCACAACTCTGTGGAATATCTGCTGTCTTCCATTTCTGTCCCCCTGATTTTAATGACTCTACTGTGCTGACTGTCCCTTCAGAAGTGTTGGTCCATGTTCGGGATTTGCAATCTAAATCTGTCGACATCTTTGTTTCTCTCTGCTCTGTGAATGAGTGCCTTTCAGATGTACAACTTCAGTCAAGCTGTTCCTGTCACATTTCTGTCCTCTCACCAGAGTCTCTGCCATTGTTTAACTGTTGACAGCAGAGGGGAATGACTGGTTCTTGCTGCAGCTCTAGTTTGCAGCAAGGAAGTAAAGTGCTGACCTTGTTTGGATGGTATTCTTGACATTGGAGCACTTAAAGCTCTCTGCTTGGCTCTTGTGTCAGAAAAGAAGGTGCCTGCATTGATAACACAGCAACAATGCAGCTCTGTGCCACCTGAATATTTAAAGTTCCACTACATTAATGGCCTAACATCTGGCTGAAGTATATGTTGGGTTCTGGAACAGCAACATTCTGAATGTATCTTCCAAATTACAGTTGTCACTCATGAGATATATCAAGTGCTCGTCTGAATAATGAAGACCAGAAGTGTTCATCTGTTGGTTTGGTTTCTCCGACAGTTTTGCTTCCTCTTCTAAAATAGGATTTGGACGACCATGTCTTTGTTGTTTTAGAACAACAAGTCATGTCTGAGTTGGATATTGTTTCTGCCTTATTCAATGTGTAAAGTTGCTTTGAATCTGGAGACAAAACCAGTTTTGATTGGGCCTTTGTCCAGCAATGTTTTTTCAAACCAGCCCAAAAAGTTGTGAAACGTGCACCCACTCAGAGATCCAAGGAACCTAGTGAGAAAATAAAACATTCTATGGTTTTCAACAATCACCAGTAAACTTCACTGAAGAAGGCAGATCTTGTCCATTGTACGGCTGTACATGTAGCTGCTCTGAGGGTCTACAAATGGCAACTAATGTCCGGTCCTGGAATCGGGACAAACAGGAGTATTTCCCTGGAGGCCAATAACAGTAGAGAGTCATGGAGTCCCTACATTGTGGAAATAGGCCATTCGGCCCAACAAGTCCACACCATCCCTCCAAAAAACATCCCACCCAGACCCATTCCCCTACCCATGCAGCTCTTATGTCTAACCCACCTAACCTAAACATCCCTGGACACAACGGGTGATTTAGCATGGCCAATCCCCATACTCTGCACATCTTTGGACTGTGGGAGAAAACCAGAGCATCTGGAGTATACCCGCACAGACACTGGAAGAATGTGCAAATTCCACACAGACAGCCGCCCAAGGGTGGAATCGAACCTGGGTCCCTGGTGCTGTGAGGCAGCAGCGCTAACCACTGAGCTACCGTGCCATAAGCAAAGAAAAGAATATCCATCAACATTAAAAGTAAATCTTTACCTTAAACCCTTGAGCAGGTAAATAGCTTCGGGAGAAAATAATTTTGCAGGAATATAATTTGAGGTTCCTTAGTATGTCCACAATTTCAGTAAACAGTTCCTGTTTTAATGTTGTCCACATATCCTGGTGCTTTGCACATGTGGCTACTAATCCTCTGTATAGCTTCCTGCCACTTCCATCTGATAAGGTATTGTTCCCCATCATGCCTTAGTTATTTGGCAAAGATTCCTTAATGAAGTTGTGGGCTTCTAGTGAGACAAATTATTGATCATGTTTCACAGTTACATCTGGATATTTCTTTCATCTTGCCCTTATACTTTCAATCTCAAACCTTGACTGAAGGTTTTCTCTGCCTTTTGAGTGTTGTTTATCCTGGATTTCTCATGCCATTCATGTGATAAGGATCATTGCTGGAGTCATCAGTTGGGTGGTTCCAAAATTTCTCCTGCAATTAGCAATTCACATTCACACCCAGCAACGATGTTGCCATAAGTCTTTCCACACCTTCCTTTCAGCGATTTAACTATTCTTTGTCTTTTTGTTGACTATGCTGAGTACTCTCTTAATCCACATATCCCTTTCCCGCAAGCTTCGATGGAGTCTTTCTTGGTGAAAGCTTACATCATTCTTTATCTTTAAATGTTTTTAATGCATCCCATCTAATAAATATTCGTGTTTCTCAATCACACCTGCATTTCGTACCAGATATTGTCGCAAGCATTTAACAAATAGCAAATGGGAACAAGACAGATCCCACTGATTTCTAAGTCATTCCCCCAGACATCACTTATGTTATCAGTGTTAACTCTCATGAAACTTCTTCACGTTGACTAATCTACCTTTCAAACTGCCTTTCGAGCTGTTCCATTATGAACTACCACAATGACAGCCCCCATTCTGGTCGCCTACCCCACTTTCCAGGCAGTACTGTTCCCTGGACTCCAAAATTGCGCACAGTAGTCTCACGGGCAAAACCCCAGCTCTTGACCAATAGCTCACTTCATCGTATTGAAACTAATCCTAAGATTTTCCCTGAGCTGTAATATTGCTCAGTTGTGTCAAGCTAACACTGGTGAGCTTTTCAAACCCCACTGTGAGCTCTAATGAATTATTAGTAGTACACAGAATTCATTTGAGCTCTTTGCGGTTCCTCAGACTTGTTTGAGCCCTGACCCAACACTGAGCTGTCTGCTCATTCTTAGAACCTCTTCTGAAGTTGTATAGTACTGAGCCATCCAACTGCTCATGTCTTGTCATGGCATCCCCACACAGAACAAGTGTTGTCACCTGCCTTCCCAGCAGTACAGTCACTCGGAGTAGGGCTTCTTCCTCTGTCTCCATCTCACATCCTCACTCACTGCCTGGGACCTTTGCACTCCTCTTCACTGATGCTTGAATTCTTGTGAGTGGCCGATTGAAAATCTTGCAATAATTGAGCATAGCCACTGAGCAACTCTTGGGACTGAGTTTGAATGTTAGAATTTGCACATTGTTGGCTTCACCAGTATCGTTGGATGCAACAGGAAGCAGACGTCATCACAGGCTAACTTGTGTTTGAAATCCCTCAGTCCTTTATTAGATTGTGGGGTGACCCCATTGTATTTTGCTACCCTCTGTGATTGAAGCATTCGCAGGAGGGTATTCCATGTCCTGCTGCTGATGGGCAAGGCAAGGATCTGACTTGCTGCAGCTGCACCTCTGAGGGAGCTCACAAATTTCCTGGTGAATTGACCCGTTCAGCTCGTCATTGGACCATTCCTCGCTGTCAGACACAGAGTGACTTTGCACGAGATCTGGATGCAAGCTGTTGGTCCACACTGTTTGCACTCGAAAGGTGCTGGAAGTGAAGGAGGCAGACTGTGCGCAAAGAGCAGAGGAGCAACAGTGCTGGGTTCAACAGCCATGTCCTCCCAAGAGTTTATTTCCTGTTGGGAAATAACAGTGTTATTTTGAAGAAATTACTTCAATGAAGAGTGTACTGAGGCCACTTGACTAACAGTAACATTCGTTCCGACAGTGTGTATGTCTCTTTGAAGCAGCAAAGTTCAAAACCGTGCAATGTAGTCAGCATTTCCAGAACTAAGTTGACTTCTTTCTTGCTATCAAAATATATTTACCTCACTAAACATATTATTGGCATGTAATGTTATTAAAGTGAACTGTCAAAAACAATTTGGCTCTTTTAACTTGTCACCCATGGTTTTAGCTTCACAGTTCATTGTGTTAAAGATACTGGGATAATTGACTGCTTAGTTTTCTACTTAGGTTCCAGCAATTTCCTTCGAAGCCCAGTCCTTGTTGATTGATGTATGTATCCTTCGATTATAGTATACCAGAATGACACCTGATGGCTGGTCTTGCATTCTGCTATTGTTTGTTACTTTGGTGTATTTTAATTAACAGTGAGGACAGCAAAGTACGATTTTCAGATGCCTCGTGCACTCACAATGTCTCGTGGCCTGATTTTTAAAAATCACTTGCTGAAATGATGCTCACACTACTCTTCCCCCAGTTTTAGTTTCCACTCTATTTTGCCTTGTCTGTTTTAGAGTTATCGAGATGTACAGCATGGAAACGAACCTTCAGCCCAACTCGTCCATGCCAACCAGATATTCTACATTAATCTAGTCCTATTTGCCAGCATATGACCCATATCCCTGTAAATCCTTCTCATCCAGATGCCATTTAAATGTTGTAATTGTACCAGCCTCCACCACCTCCTCTGGCAGCTCATTGCCTACATGTACCACTGTCTGCATGAAAAAGTTGCCCTTCAGGTCCCTTTTAAATTTTTCCCCTCTTGGACTCCCCTACCCTGGAAAAAAGACTTTGGCTAGTCACCTTATCTATGCCCCTCATGATATTATAAACCACTATAAGGTTACCCCTCAGTCGTCTACACTCCATGGAAAAAAAGTCCCAGCTTATCCAGCCTCTCCTTATCAATCAAACTCTCCAGTCTCAGTAACATTCTTGTAAATCTCTTCTGCACCCTTTCCAGTTTTCCATCCTTTCTATAGTGGGGTGACCAGAATTGGACTCAATACTCCAAATGAGGCCTTACTAATGTTTTGTACAGCCATAACATAACATCCCAACTCCTGTACTCATTGCTCTGACTAATGAAAGCAAGCATGCCAAATGCCTTCTTCACCATCTTGTCTACCTGTGATGTCACTTTCGAGGAACTGTGTTCCTGCCCCCCTTGTTCCTTCTTTCTTGCATTAAAATGAAAATGTGTTATTCTTTGTATTTCATTGTAATTGTAATTTCATTGCTGACAAGTACCCCAAAACTTTGAATGTTGATGAGCTCTCTCAGTCTCCCCGTTCCTTTTCCAGTTTTTAAAACTTGGAGCCGCCTGTTAGCCATCCAATTTATCTCGCGTCACCTGTCCCCCATTATCATGTTGATAGGAGCACAAAGCATTGTCGACTTAATGACAGTGCAGGCCCTAACCCCACCATCCTCTCGCACCAGCTGCTGCTATATCTCCTCTGGATTTGGGTGCATTCCTGAAAATTCATTTCCACTCTTATGCATTTGTGTTAGTTACTGAGCTGTCTTGGCTTGTGCAGACTGTGCTCTGCAGCTTTGTTGAATTGGTGTCCGCTGACTCACTGTCTCCGGAATAGCAAATAATGCAGCACTTTGATGCAAAGAAGAAGCAGCAGGCCACATCATCCTTCAGTTGTCAGGGAATGGGACATCAGTCATCAGTTTGTTCAGATGCTTGTTCTTTGGCTCTGCTCCCTCTCCAGAAGCAATCTCTGTCTGAGTGGCATTCATCCAAGAAGGATACTTACAGTCTAGGACAAGTCCATTCAATTCATGGTGTTGCTGGTAGCCATCTAATTCCTTCTTGCACCTCTATCTTATCCCCATAAACTGGGACTAAGTCCTGTTCAAGATCATCTCTACTTGTCTTTTCGAAGTTCCCACTGAATCTGCTTGCGCTACTCATGCAGGCTGTACTTCCCAGATCTTAGCAATCCTGTGTGTGCAGTAATTTCTTTCCACCTCCCCTCTAGATTTTTGCCCTTTGCTTGAAGTCTCTAGTCTCTTATTTGTGAAGTCCTTTCTAGAAGGATGAGTTTTTTACTGCTTGCTTCATCAATAATTATGAATAGCTCTTTTAGAACCTGCTATAAACATTTTCCAAACTTGCATCATGATCGTAGGAGGTTTGATTTGCACCCTTCCACCCTGATCTGCCATTCAGTATAATCAACTCAGTTCTCTGTTCCTGCTTTCTCCCTATAGCCTAGGCTCCCTTGAGCCCCAAGAGCAATATCTCTCTCCTTCTTGAAAACATTGAATGATTTAGCTTTGGTTGCTTCCTGTGACTGGGAATTCCACAGGAGCACCACTCGCTGAGTGAAGAACTTTCTCCTTACCTCAGTACTAAATGCCTTATCCCATGTTGTTAGACTGTGACCCCTTGTCATTGGGATTCCCATGTCATTGCGAGCAGCCTTCCTGCATTTACCCTGTCTAGTTCTATTAGAATTTCATAGATTTCCACAAGCACCCCTCTCATTCTTCCAGATTCCTGTGTATATAGCCCTAACTGCTTCAGTTTCTTTTCATATGTCTATCCTGGGAACCAGTCTGGTTTGACACAGTTACCTGTTTGAGATGTGTTTTTGAAATAGGACTTTAGCCACAATGAAGATTGGAATTCAACTTGTTTGAGGATGTGCCATTGCTGTGTACAGCTTTGACTCCCAACCTTTCCCTGTGTTTGTCTCTAGGTGTTGTTCTCGGCAGCAGTCACAACACCCAGCCACCAGGCCTGCAGCAGCCTCAGCAACAACCAAGGCCTCAGTTGCAACAGCCGCAATTGGTGCTGCAGCCGAAGCAGCCCCAGGCAGCAGCAGTGCAGCAGAAGCAGGTGCATGCTCCACCTCAGCCACAAGCAGCAGGGCAGCCTCCACCTGCCCCACAACAAGCAGCTGTACAACCGCAACTCTTCGTGCAGCAGCAACAGCAGCAGATGATGGCTCAGCAGGTGAGTGTTACCTGCGCAAGTCCGCAGTAAATTAACTTTATGTTCATGCTTGAATGATGAACTTTGAGAGCACGATTGTCGTCTTTGTTCTGCACTCTCTTCCTTGGTTAAACTTTACACCTGCAGAGGTAAGGGTGGTGCAAACGCACAACCTTTTACACTGCCTTTGATGCCTCTTCCCACGTCACCAGCAGCTATGTGGAAACCATGCTGAAAATTGACTGGATCCCAACAAATCTGATCACTGTAACCGAGACAGTGATTAGACTGAGCCTATAATCCTCCACTGTTAAAAAAGAACGATGGCTGATTGCATTGAAACATGTGGAATTTTTAAAGGACGTAGCAGGGTAATTCCTAAGAAAATTTTTGGCCTGTGCATGGGGAATCTGGAATATGGAACCTCGATCCCGGCGTCAGGGTCCGATAAAACTCAAAAACATGATGAATTGCTGGTGGAATTCTCTGCCTTGGAGGATTGTGGATGTTTGGTTGTTGAGATACCTTCGAGATCCAGATAGATAGATTTTTGGGAACATACAAACAAGGAATGAGAATAGGCCACTCAGCCCTTCGAGCCTGCTCCTCCATTCACCACCATCACGGCTGATCTGATTTTGACCTCAACTCTATCTTCCAGCATATCCATCATCCCCTTCGCAATCAAATATCTACCTGTCTTTGCTTTAAAAAATATTTAAAGATTCTGCATCCACTGGATGAGATGACCATGACTGAGTGAATGGTCAGGCAGGGTCAAGAAGGCACACAGCCAACCCTACTCCTAATTGTTACCTTGATCACCAAAACTCTCTGGTACCAATGCATAACACTGGTGAGAAAAAAAAACTCTTTAAAGAAGATAATCTTGGCTGCTGCTTTGTTTTAAAGGGTCATCTGTTGTTGTCCAGGTTTTATAGTAGGCTAGTCACTCTGAAACCATGCTGAGTCCTTGCTTTCAGTTCTGTTACACTAATCTCGCAGATCCTCCTGGAAGGCAAGAGTTGCCTGGGTGCGTCAGAAATGCTTGTTTTACAGACTCTGCTGCTGCAGAAATGCACAAGGGCTTCTGAGATCAAAGAATAAGAGAAACTTGCAGCATATTTTATCCTATACTGGCACTTCACAAGGGTAATTGCGCTTTGTTCCGCATCCTGTAAATTCCCCACCGTCTCTAGTATCTGTCTCATTCCCTTTTCAAATCATTTATGGAATCACCTTCCACAAAGGATCTGGTATGCACTGCACTGCGGGTTACCTCACAACCTTTAAAATATACTTGGATGCATACTTGAAATGACATAACCTTCAAGGCTATGGGTCTAGTGCTGGAAAGTGGGATTAGTGTATACTTATTACAGTTTTAGCAGCACAGATTCAGTGAGCTCTAGGGTCTTTTCTGTATTGTATGACTCTATGATCATTTCAGGTGCAGCGTTCCAGATTCCGACAACTTTCTTTAACTTTACTGACTCTGCCCCATAACTAAAGTCACTCACCCTGGTAATGTACTGTTCTGTATCCTCTTAAGGCCCTTTACGTCTTTGCTGTTACCTAGTTGAAGTGTAATCACTGGCTTAGAAAGTTCAAGTGTGATACCCACTTTGATATCTCACTCTTCTATTTACAGATCCAAGCAACCCACATAAATTTTAACCTTATCACTGTGGCCTGCCATCTTTAAAGATTTGTGTATTCGATCCCAAGTTCTCTCTGCTTATCTATACTTTTCAAAATCATGTCTTTTATTGTATGCTGCTCATTTATGTTAGTCCCTTCAAAGTGTATCACTTCACACGTGGAGGTTTTTGTATCATTCTTCCGTCCGTTTCCCTCTGTCTGTCACCCTGAAGCCTATAACTGTCAGCCTTGCCATGTTTCACTTGATCAGGTTTCATATCATCTGCACGTTTTGTATTGCTGCTTCCAACACCTTAATCGTGGTGATGTTTGCCAATTTTGAGGAGTATTGGACTGCAAATTGACCCTTGAGGAATCAGCTGGGCTAAAAAAAATGTACCACCTTCATCCTTCCATTCACTGACCAACTTTATTTCCATCTTATCACTTCCTGCTCAATTTGATAGATTTAGTTCTCATTTATGAGCGGCCTGTATGACACTTGCTGAAAGCCTTCCAAACATAAAATCTTCCCTACGGTGATCAGCTGTCTCTCTCACCTCCCCAGATAATTCAAACAATCTGAGAAGCAAATAAGACCAATCCACAGATCCATGTTTCACCACTGCACGGAGTCTGAGAAAGGGAAACGAGACACCTTGGCTGCTGGGAGAGACCAGCTCCTTGTGATGTGTGCAGCAAGCCTGGTACCTTCTGTACCGCACCTGCACCTAGGTTAGGAAGGGTTTCCAAGGTGAACTTTCCAAGTGTTGCACCAATGGCTGGGGAGGTCCTTTAATTTCTGTTAGCACCAGGCAGAATGCATTTCACCCATTGCTATTTTGACCTGCTGCGACCTCCTTACCTAATAGCTGGACTCGTACAAGTCTGTTTTGCAGCTTGCATGACAGTGTCTCTTGTTAACCTTTCATGAGTCAGATGCTTCACTCATGGCACTAATTCCTGGCTGGGGCATTGTGTCTGTGTGTGTGTATGTCTGTGTCAAGGTTTTATGAGTTGCAATTTCTATTTTAACTGAAGTTGCTTACAGTACTTATGTACAATCGTGGATGTTACTCTGAGTAAGTAAGCATGAATAATCTGTGCAATGAGATAACATTTTCCAGTTGCTTTAAAATCATTCGAAATATGCATATCACATTGATTTTTCTTCCATTTACTTACTTTATTTCAATTTTACTTATTCTTTAAAAATTGTAGCTTTACCCAGTGTCCAGGTGAGGACTTATGCCTAGTCCAGTCAGACCATGCTAAATGCTCTTCAGTGTTGAAATTTACAACCACATTGAAGTGGAGAGAACTGTGTAGTCATCCTTCACTATTCACTTTCTTTGTTCATGTTCAGAGTCATGAGTTAGTTTTGTCTTCAGTCTTTTGTTTCAGTTTATTGTTTGTGGAGTGTTCAAATATTACTGTTGATCTGTCAATTCTATTTTAGTGACCGTTCAATGCATATGCCAGTCCTGCACAGTACTATTGCATCAACTTATTTTTATATTTATAGCACGTAAATAGATTAGATTTGTTCTACATGCGTTATTGCTGGATTGGGACCATCTCTTTGGATCTGATCAGTTGCCTCTGTAGCAAATAGATTGGTTTCATCCATGTGACATCTTAGTTCAACAGGTGTGAACCTTGGGCAAATTAGGCACATGGTCCAGGCTGATAGCACTGTGCATTTTTAATTGAATTAACCTTTGGAGGAGATGTGTATACCAAGGCCGAGTACGCAAATAAAATTGTTGCTGTTTCCTTGATGGATCTGTGGCACTCGTTGGTTGCCTAGTTAATGTAGAGCTAGCTGCCACTCAGCATTGTATCCTTACTCTGAGTCAGAGGTCAGGGATTTACTTTGGCTTTGACCATCAAAATGCAGACTCACCCTCCAATGAGGGAGTGCTGCATTATCTGAGATGTCTTGTTTCAGGTGAGACAGTAAACGTTCTGGGGTCTGCCACAACCAGCAACTGAACTCAAACAACTGCACATATCTTGTAGCTGCAGAGTGTGTCAGATGTTGAGGATTCTGAGTTAAGTAACTCATCCCCTGATTCCCCATAGCTTGTTCACCATTTCCAAGGCATAAGTCAGGAGCGTGATGGAATACTTGCCTGATTGTGTGCAGCTCCAACAAATCAAAAAACTTGATACCATTCAAGACAAAGCAGCCTGCACAATTTGGCAGCCCATTTATCATCTTCAACATTGAGTCCCTATCCAACTCCCACAGTAGCAGCAGTGTGTACCATCTACAAAATGCAGTGCTGTGACTTAGCAAGGTTCCTCAGACAGCACCTTCCAAACCAGTATCATTGAGAAAGACAACGGCAGCAAACACAGAACACCCGCATCCGCAAGTTGCCATCCAGGCCACTCGCCAATTAGACTTGGAAATATACTGCTGTTACTTTAGCATCGCTGGGTTAAAATCATGGAAATTCCTCCCTAACAGCACTGTGCTACTCCACACAGACAGCAGTGGTTTAGGTCAGTCATTTACCACCATCATCTAAAGGGAACTTAGCTATGGGTGAGAGATGCTAGTTTATCCACTGATGCCCTCATTTTGACAGTTAATACATTACGAAAAAAGACATTCCGTCTATCATCTTGGATTGACAAAAGATCCTGCAGCACAATTATGAGTTGGAGCAAAACTGGTGTCCTGTTCAGTAATTACTGTTTGTTCAGGGCTCCTAGCTTGGATTATCTGCTCATAATGTGACTTCTATTTGTGGGAGCTGCCTGTGGCCGAAGTGACTCAACATGAGAAGCTTTTTATTTGCTGTAAAGTGTCCAGAGCCATCTAATGGCTGTGCACAGTGCCCCTCAAGCCGGTTTGAGATAATGGCTGATCTGTGACCTAACTTCATCTACCTGCCTTTGCCCCACATTTCTCAATATCTTTGCTTAACAAAAATTTTGTGATCTCAGATTTAAAATTCACAACTGGTGCAGCATCCATTGCCAAATAGATAGTTTGTCTTTTTGTTTTCATTCCAAATCTGTGACTACCTTGTAAGGAGCACTTCGATATTTGTTATTCTGTTGAGACATTCTGTAATTACAGCCAATTTCAGCTTGATCTACTTGCTGCTTAACTCTGCTTATCTTATCACTACCCCAATTTTCCATTGATGTTATGTGATACAACATGTGATATACAATGCAGAGACTGTGTATTTGTGTACTGCACTGTCATGCTTTGGGAAAAGTGCAAATCCAGTCATGCCAACATGGTTATTTCATGATTTTCATTTTCAACAATTTATTTTGTGTTTTACATCACTGTTCTTTTTTTGAAGATTTTATTTTTTCATTATTTGTGGGTCTGTTTTATTTGCATGTGTCTGTGCCAGTACCACGCCATGCAGCAAGCATTGCAACATCAGATGATGCAGAATTACTATCTCCAGCAACAGCAGCTTGCCACAGCCGTGCAGCAGATACAATACGTGAGCCAGCAAGCTGCTCCTGCCCAGCCACAGCTGACCTCAGCACTCCCACAGCATACACCATTACCTCCACAGCAGCAACATACTGCAGCACCACAAGCAGCCTCTCAGGAACAGGGAATGGTAAGAGTTTAACCCTTGGAGAAATTATGTTTCTCATCATTTTTCAAAGGGCCATCTTTCTTAAAGGGTAAAGCAATGAGAAAGAGTGACAATTGCGCCAAAAAGTGCTTCAATGTCAAACCCAGCGTTATCGTAGATTATGTACTATTTTGAGGTTTTGGATAAATATTTATCTCCAGACTGTAGGTTATCACCTGAAACCTAGTTTTACCCAAATCCCACCTTTACAATTTGCTGTTTTCTACAATGTACAATTTCATTCTGAGTTGCAGGGCATTGTTATCTACCACAGACTACTTAATGATATCCATCTACACCCAAACATAGGAATCTTAAATTCTGCTCCTGTTTGGAGGCATATCAAGAAAGGGTTTTGAAGTGATGCCTCAGCTTTGAAGGGGGAGGAAAAATTAGCTCCTTTCATCACCATCGTTTTTTTTATCCTTTACAAATTCATTAGCTTTGCCTTCACAACCAAATCCAGGCTGTCTGTTTCTATCTGCATCCTGAAAAACAGCAGGCCAGTTACCATCCCATGATCATGACATCAAATCATATTTGACCAAGTGTGACAGCAAGGAGCTCTGGCCAAATTGAAGTCAATGGGAGTTAGGCTTTGATAATAAATGCTGGCCTAGCCTGCAAGGCCACATTCTGTGGGTGAATGTAAAAAAAAATTACTGCACAATGTTCAGCACCATTCGTGATTCCTCCGATACTGACACAAATCCATATCCACTTGAAGCAAGACCTGGACAACATCCAGGTTTGAGGAGACAGATGGCAAGTAATATCCATGCTATGTAAATGCTAGGCAATGGCCATCTTCATCAAGAGTGAATTTGACTATCTCACTTTGAAATTCTCCCTCTGCCTGTGATCAACAATCTGGCAGGGCTTACCACTGACCAGAAACTGAGCTGGACCAGCCATGCAAATAAGGTACCCACCCAAGCAATTCAGAGACTGGGGTTTTTGCAACGAGTAACTTCGATCCCAGCTCACTAAAACTGTCTACCATTCACAAGGCACAGTCAGGATTGTTATGGAATGCACTTGTATGGATATGTGCAGTGCCAACAACACTTGAGCTTGACGCCATGTAGGACAACCTGGTTATTTGGCATCATATCCACAAACATTCACTGCAGCAACTGAGCAAGACTCCTGAGACAGCACTTTGCAAATCCATGATCACTATCATCCTGAAGGACAATGGCAGCAGATCCATGGGATCTCCAATCCCTGCAAATCCCTTTCCAAACCACTCAATATCCTGACTTAGAAATATATCGCTGTTCTCCCCTTTTGGTCACCACTTATTGAAGTCATGGTTCCAGTCATCCATTGGGCTACAGTTCAGTGTCCCCTCCTACATGCCAGTTCACAGCAGAATTTCTCAGACATTTCCCGACTGACCTAGGTTTATAATGTGGTTTCTCGCCCCACCCCAGGAAATGACGCGGGATGAGAAAATATGATAGCTTCATGAATAAGGCTAGCTAGACCAGTAGTTCTTCTCCACTCTGTTATCTTGCTCATTGACAAATAAGCTAGGGGAGTGAGAATAAAACTGAAGTTTACTTTGTGGGTACATTCACAGGAATTTGAATATTTTGAAGCTTTTAGCACAGTTGACTTTCAATAAGTCAGTGGTGATAACCGTGTGGGGATAGCAGAGAAGTTTAAATTGTGCAAGCAAGGAACAAGGTGACCACTCCTCCCTTCAAGTCTGCTCCATCATTTGTTAAGATCACGGCTGATCCTATTTTCATTTCAAATCTCAATTCCATCTCTCGTCCCCCCTCGGCAATGAAGAATTTATCTACCTCTGCCATATAACTTTATATTTAAAGTTACAGCATTCACTGCCTTTTGAGGAATTCCGCAGTCTCTTAAACCTCAGAGCAAAAACATTTCCTCTTCTCTGGCTCGAATGGGCGACTCCTTATTTTTAAGCGATTCAGTGATGTGTGATGTCCTCTAAATTTAGAGCTTTTACCAAGACGTGTCTTGACGTGTAGATTCAAGTGACACCATGCATTTTTTTTTTCTTTTTATTGACGTCCACTGCAGACCCAGATACAACAACAACAGCAGCAGCAACCACAAGTGGCCCAAAACCAGTCTCCAAAAATGGTGTCGGTGTCGCTGACTCCTCCATCGTCGCCGAAGACTCAGCGTTCCGGCCACAGAAGGATCCTGAGTGATGTCACGTACAGTGCAGTGTTTGGTGTTCCAGTCAGTAAATCGACCCAGCTCTTGGCAGCTGCAGCTGCTGAAGCTGGTTTAAACAAATCCAAGTAAGCTCACCTTTATATTTTTTTCAAATTTGAGGTTTAACTCATTATAATTACGTCTCGTCCGGATAGAATTGCAGTGCGGAAACAGGCCTTAGGGCCCAACAGGCCTATGCTGGTGTTTACGCTCCAGTTGAGTATCCTTCAGTCGTAATTCACCTCGCAATATTCAGCTTCTTTCTCCCACGTGTACCTATCAAACTGTTTCTTCAATGCCTCTGTGCTAATTGCCTCCACTGCTCCCCCCCCAGTGCTAACAGGCTAACATGTTTCACATATGTATCACCTGGTAAGCTGTACAAAGTGGCCATTGTGTCACGTCTGGAAGCTCAATATATGTCGCGCAGTCACATGCCTTTCGGCTCCATTTATCTTCCGCCAAAAAATGTGTCTAGTCCTCAAGTGCAGGAATCTTTTCTTTAAACTTGTCTTCCTTCATCCAGGAATATTGGAGCCAATTGCTGCCCTAACTGAGGGCAGTCTTTTTTAAATTTAGGCATGTGAATGTCACTGGCTGGGCCAGAATTTCTTCATCATCTTGAGATGCCCTTGAGAAGCTGGTGGTGATCTGTTCTCTTGAACCGCTGCAGTCAGTGTGCTGTAGGGACACCCATGATGCTGTTAGGCAGGGAATTCCAGAGTTTTGACACAGTGACACTGAAGAAACGGTGAGACCTTGCCAAGTCGGGATGGTGTGTGACTTTGTGGTGTGTGATATTCCCATGTTTCTGCTGCCCTTGTCCTTCTAGATGGAATGGTTGCTTATGAATTTGCAGAGCACTGCTGTAAGATAATTGGTGAGTTGCTGCACTGCATCTTCTAGATTGGCATTGTGTGTCAGCAACAGACTGAAGGGTCTAGGCCCGAAACGTCAGCCTCTCTGCTCCTATGATGCTGCTTGGCCTGCTGTGTTCATCCAGCCCTGCACCTTGTTGTCTCAGAATGTAAGTTCACTTGGTTTCAGGGTCAAGAGATCTTCAACATTCCCTCCTCCTGCTACTGATGCACAGTGCAAGCAGTGTATACCATTTACAAGATGCAGTGCAGAAACTCATCAAATATCTTAGGGCAGCACTTTGCAAATCCATGACCAATCGAGGGAGGGAATGTTGAAGACCACATGAACTTAACCGATTCACCTTTCATTCTGTCAGCTCCTGAGGCACAGTGACAACAGTCTATATCATCTACAAGATGCATTGTGGCAAATCAGCAAGGCTCCTGTGATACCACTTTGGAAATCCACAGTCTCTACCACTTGGAATGAATTTATTATCAACCAGATGTAGCAAAGTGTGGCCTGTTCAGTATTGTGCGTAACAGTCTGTTTTCTCACAAGCCAAGCCATTGGGATCATCCTGATCAAGTTCATTGTAATGCTGGAGGAGTTTTTATCTCTAACAACTAATCTGATAATACAATGGCTTTAAGAGGTGTATTTTTGTCTTTCTGTTATGAAAAAAGGTTGAGACAGAGGTGTTGAGCAGTCTGCTTAAAGGCAATGGAGTAAACAGCTTGTGATGCTTTGGAGTTTTTAAAAAGTTGGAACAATAGAAGCAGCCTGAATGGATGGGGTCAAACTCCCACAGAACCAGGATGTTTAGTTTTAGCTTTCTGCAGTTGCTGGGGTCTTGAAGCTGGATATGGAAGCTGTTATTCTCTCTCTGTTATAGCTACAAGCTGGGGTTCTCTTCGTGCTGTTAGAATTGCATGTGAAACAATCTGTTTTACTGAATTTAGCTTTGCCAAGGGTGTGTTTTTGGGTTGTTACTATATTGGAACAGTTAATTAGCAGTAGTTTATATCCATTATTTTGTTGAGCATTTCGGTAGATTTTCAGTTAGACCAATTTTTTTCTTTTTATTGTATCTGAATTTTAACTGTAGTATAAAAACAAATTGTGTTTTGCTGAAAGTCGATTGTTTGACTAATTGAATTGCATCTGGAACCTTGCACTTACCTTTAAAAGAAGAAAATGTTAGGGTCTTAAGTATCTTAATATGTTTTGGAGGGGTTTGGTCTGACCCAAAACACTAACATCTGATATTTACAATGTAACACTATTACACTCAGGTCGGCTACAACCACTCCCTCGGGATCTCCACGGACCTCTCAGCAGAACGTCTACAATCCTCCAGATGTGTCTACATGGAACCCTTTTGCTGATGACAATTTCTCCAAACTCACTGCCGAGGAGCTGCTCAACAAGGACTTTGAGAAACTCAAGGACGGTAAGTCAGAACAGATATAGTGAAATGGTGCTCCTCTTCAATTAGTCTTGATCTCCGAAAAACAGAAGTGAATGTCTTAAAAGGGGAAGGGACTGAAGGAGCAAAGGGACTCCACACTCAAGAAAAAGCTAAATTATCGCAGAAAAAGAAAAATCAATCTTTGAATGTGCACATTTTGGTTTAGGTATGTAGCATTGTCCATTTGAGAGGCATGAATCTGTTTCAAATGAAATAAATGAGTTAACTTTTTTTCGTTAGGCAGAGAGGAATTTCATGTGACCTGGCTGAGCATCATGTTTTAACTCAATGAGGGGAGGAGTCTTGTCTCTTCATCTTGAAGGGGCAAAAGGAAAATATCTCGGAGTAGTATCCAGGCGAGCATAATGGAGAGCTGCTATCACAAAGTCTGCATTATGTCACTTGTAGAAAGCAGTGATTTATGCTTCACATGTATTTGCATGGAGATATACTTCATCAGGCTTTATAGCAGTTTGGCTTTGATGCTTGTGCAGAAGTCCCACTGCACAGGATGCTCCTGGACATGGGTATTGTTTTCCCTCACTGTAGGCTAGCTCATGAGTTCATTGCATCCCAGTAATGATGCTGCTCCAGTTACGCAGAAATCACTGTTTCAAAAAAAGAGGTTGTTCATGATATCTGCTGATTTCTTCAGTGAGTTGCACTGCTGCAGTAAATTCAAGCATTCAAGCAAGTTCAAGCAGTTGGTCTTTTGGAGGAAATATAAATCAGTTCCTGCAGCACTTCCGCAAGCTTAAGCCAAATCTGAAAGAAAGCCAATTGGTGACAGGCCAAATGTTGAGAAAGTGACCTCCTCTTGAAGATCCAAAATGTATGTTATCACTGGAGAGTGTGCATTTGATCTTGAGCATCATGTGACAGCAGCCATCGGAGATGGACTTGGGAAAACATTTTGGTCACAGAATATTAATCACCCTGAGTGAGAGTCACCCTGAGAATGCCATTTTTACATTCTTCAGTAATTGTAAAAGAAAGTGCTGGAGAAACTGAGCAATATCCTTGGAGAGAGAAAGAGAGTTCATGTTTCGAGTCCAGTATGGTTCCTCTTCACGACTTCTGTAACAATTATCCAACAATCAATGTTGCAGTGTATACTCAATAAGATTGGTGCTCTGGAAGATGGGTACAAGGATGGAGATTTTTAGGTGAGCGACCAAAATAACCAGGCAAAGACGTTTGTGTAGAGAGCAACAGTTCAGGTGAAGGTTGAGCATTGATGGCATCATTGATGAGGTAGGTCAGATTTGGAAGAATGATTCCTGTGTGCTGCACTGTTTAGCTGCAAATGAATAAAGGTTAAAGCAGTGAACTAGCCATGACATTCTATATTCCTTTCCAGCCAAGTGAAACAGTTACTCAGAGCCAGTGTTGGAGATTTGTGCTGTTTTTCTTCCTGGTGTTGTTTTATAACCTCCAGGATATCCAATGACTGAAGCAACTGTTGTTGGGAAACCTGACATCCTATCTGCACACTCCAAGGAGCCACATGCAATAATTCAGCAAAATCTTAGAATTAAGATGATGCTGTTGGAATAGAGTTGAAATGAAGGACTTTTAGCTTGAGGCGTTTATGTTGCCTATAGGAGCTTCATTTATTTTTTTTTTATGAACAGCATCTTAAACCTTATCAGTCCAAAGGCATCATTTGACACCCTAGTGTTTATCATTTGTTGTGGTGACATTATTTTTCTTCTGATGCAAAAAACATTCAAGAAATAATTGCAAAACTTGACTTTGTTCTGAAATTTTCTAGGTAAGGCTGAGCAGACCAACACATCGACTGAGAGCCTGATCCCAGGGCTTCCAGCAGCTGCAGCACAGTCACAGACAGATGCTTTTGGAATTGACCCCTTCGCAAGTGGTGCAGGTGAGAGGACCAACCAATTTTTAACAATCTACTCTTATGACCCTAACTTTGGAAAACTGTAAGTGTCCTGTGTCTCGTAATATACTGGAAATTCCAGTTGTGTCTGAAAGAAGCAGGTTAATTTTTGAGAAGGACATAGTTTTTGGTAGCCCTTACCCAAGGGTAGTTAAAAAAAAAATGAAACTGAGAGCAGGTTAAACTGTTTTCAGTTGAAATAACATGAGAAGTTCAAAGTGTGGCTGAAAGCACAAGAGAAAAATCACACAGTTCGCTTTCCAACTCAGAAAATTTTTTGGAACAGATTGCTTTGTTGTGTCAAGATTCTGGGCTGATTTCCCTCCTCGGTTTTTCTCTCCTACCCCCACTTGTGAGACCCTTGGTTGACTCTCAGTAGATTCAAGTGATTCCAAGCTGCCAGCGAGGCTGAGGAATTGTGCAAGCACTTTTAGGAATTCACAGAAAGCTCCCAAGAAGAACTGCATCGAGCTTCTCCTTGTCGGACAATGTCAGTCAGGGGTCAAAAAGAAAGCGCAAGCTATCTGTCTGACAGTCTGGATGATGCTTGTTGCTAAATCTTTCCTCTGTGCTGTCAAGTGAACCGCAAATTGCCTGAGCCAAGGATAGCTTTCACCAACCTTTGGAAATCACTGAGAGGTAATCTTCGAAGTTGGAACTGAGCAACTTGCGGACAAGAATTTTTGTTTGGAACTGATGTTAGATCAGGAAATACCTTAATTAGTTGATATTGTCAACTAACTAATGAATGAGATTCATGAAATTGAGTCTTCCAGAGTTTCACTTGAGTTTCCTGCTTTTGTTGACGGTATGAAATCTTCTCAAGGAAGCTGTGGGAATAATTTCCTTTATGGTATGAAGGAAACTGAACTGAACAATCACGACACAAACTCAGACTTCTAAACCTGCTGACTCTTTATGGGTGTCAGGGATCACCCAATCCTACCACAGGTTTACCGTGGAGCTGAAACACCAAGTATTGCTGTTTTGGGCAGAGTGGTCTATTTCTGTACGATAAATGCAATATGAGAACAACGTGACATGTTGGGCAAATATGAAGCAAGTAAATAGTTTAGTGATGTTTAATTGCTTTTTGTTTCCTTTTATCACTCCTTGCTTGTCTTTGTTGCCTTCTGCTTCTCCCCTGCCTGCTATTGTCTGCTTGGTTGGTCCAGCAGAAAAGTCCACAGAGCTGTTTGTTCCGGATGCTGCCATCCCAGCAATCAACATACCTGACCCTTTCACTCCTGTTCCATCATCAGAGCAACCAGGTAAAGAGTGCTGACCCTGCTTTTTGATCCCTTCTAGAGATGAGGTCAATTGGGAGAATTACTAAGGTCTTCATCTGCCAAGTTGTCAAAAACTCTGTTAGTTTTAAACATATTGAGCAGTTAAGTATCTCCACCTTTGATCCTGTTAAGGGGCTGTCATAAATTCAACAATTGTCAGTTGGCTTGGCCTCCATTTAACCTTTCTAGTGATACCTGCATTTAAGACCATAAGAAATAGGAACAGGAGTTGGCTGTTTGCCAAGAGAATCATAGAATCACTGCAGTGTGGAAGCAAATCAGCCCATCAGCCCATCGAGTCCATACTGACCTTCTAAAGAGTATCCCACCTCGACCTACCCCGCTGCCCTATCCCAGTAACCCTGCATTTCTGATGACAATTCTGGCGGATCTGACCTTCCTCACATCCACTTTGCTGCCTTTTCCCCATAACTCTTGATTCCTGTAGAGAATAAATTTCAGCCTTCAAACCTCCCCATGTTTGACCACTTTCCTTCACTCTTCCTCAAGTAAGATTGATTCTCCACAGTTTTCAAGACATATATTCCTTCCCTTTTCCGTTCATCTTCAGAAAATAGAGCAAACAAAGTGTTTATGATTAGGCGAATATGTGGAGGGGACCCAGATCAGTTCATATCTCCAGTAAATGTAGTAATACCTCTGGCTTTTACACTTGGAGTGAAGATTCATGGCTTGAGATTCTGAAGTGAAGACCATTGTGGTGTTATAGTTCTAATGGGAGAGTGAGAGGTTAAAGCAGTAACAAGCATGTGACAAGTAACGTTTTGGGCGAGAAGATGGTCCAGTGCTCTGATGCACTGGACACCTGAAAACATGACTGCATAGACATCTGATAGATTGGTAATATTATAATGGTGGGTGAAATCAAATTACTGCAGGGGACAAAGATTGCTCAGAAGGCATGTTTTTAAAAATGTGTTTAACCATCTCAGTGAGTGTTTCCAGTGTTAGAGGCAGAGTGATTACACCTGCTGTTAGGAGCACACGCCATAGTGCTAAAAGCAGCTGCTGCAAGCCCACGCTTCCCATCAAATAGCAACATGCTTTAGATGTTGCTGCATTGCAAGGCTGTTGTCTCAGAACAGCGTTTGGAGCAGCCGAGAAGGCTGATTGTTGTGTTTGTGGTTCATTATAATAAAGGTGTCAAATTTCATTAGAAGCTCATGGTTCTTTCGAGTTAACCTCAACCACCTTTTTCCTCACACTATCCTTGATGTTAGGCTCCAGCTTTCCTTGAGAAGGCTCACGTTGGGAATGTTATCAGGAGATGCAGTGGCTGCAGAGTTGGAGACCTCCTGAATTTTGCCAAAGGGAGGGATCAGAGTTGGGTCAGATACTGAGTGGGGTTCAGAGGGGATTGTCCAAATGTATTTCACTCAGGAGATGGGATCTTTGTGTAGACATGCTTTGTGTAGACATGTTTAGCAAAAGGGCTTGAACTGGACTGCAGCAACTCATGGATTTGCATTTGGGCCATCTTCACACGCCATTTTCTAGTTGCACTTAATGGGAAAGCGAGATAAAATTAAAAGCAAGGAAGCTTGGGGAGACGATGGCCGAGTGGTATTATTGCTGGACTGTTAATGCAGAGACCCAGAAATGTTCTGGGGACATGGATTCAAATCCCATCACGGCAGGTTGTGGAATTTGAATTCAATAAATAAAAATAAACAACATCTGGAATTAAGAGTCTGATGGTGACCATGAATCCATTGTCAATTGTCAGGAAAAACCCATCTGGTTCACTGATGTCCCTGAGGGAAGGACACTGCCGTCCTTACCTGGTCTGGCCTACATGTGACTCCAGACCCACAGCAATGTGGTTGACTCTTAACTGCCCTCTGGGTAATTAGGAGTGGGCAATGAATGCTGACCTAGCCAGCGACACCCTCATCCCATTAATGAATTTTAAAAAAGCTGTCAATTAGTTGCAGAAACTGCAATTGTAAATATCAAATCAATGATTATTTCTAGACCTCCCAGTTGACACACATTCTACTGTATGTTCTGTTGTTAAGATCCTGATTGTTTTTGCTATGTTTTAGATTTCATTTAGCTGAAAATGATGCTTTGCTAATGAGTAAACTGTTCATTATGTTGATTCCACATCAGTAACGGAAAATCAATTTCCCTGTAGGTTGAACTAACATTGTCATTAGCATCGTTGAGATTGATTGTTAAAATGTTAGACATTACTTGATGTTTGCGAACACTTTTTTTGAAGCTGGTGTTAATTTAAGCCTGTTGTTTGCTGCTATTTCCCTCCATTTATTGTGGTAAAACAGCAAACGCAGTTTGTACTGGGAACCTCAATTGTTTGATTGTAATTCAACTGAGCAAAATGAGTTAAAGATAAAGCATATTTTACTTCTCTGACAAAATTGTGTTAAGATGGTTGAAATTCAGTTTATTTGTATTGTATTCCTTGAAACTGGAAGTTCAAGGCAGCCTACATTCCCCTTGATTTGACCTTGTGCAGCTCTATTGCAGCTAGTTGATAAATGGGTATGACAGACTGTGGCTGTTTGTAGATTCGTGTTGTTTCAGATCCCTCCCAATGAAAGCACTCTGTGCTAACTGTTTTGCCGTGACCTGTTGATGAACAGGAAAATGCAAGGAACACGGATAAATCCATGATCATGGGAATCTGAAGGGCTTCTCCAGTTATACAACATGAATGGGTAGTGTTTCTCACAGCTCACTGCGCCTATCCAGAATCTTACAGAACAGTCAAATTGTGTCACTGTTGAATCAGTGTTCTGTCTAATTGCTCAGGATTGCATAATCAACTTTGCTATTTGTTGACTTCAGCCACTGGATGGGTTTGTTAATTTTGACAGCACAGTGGGCAATTTCAGAACAAACAATTTCAAGTACATCATTTAATTCCTTTGAAGCACATTAAATCAATTAAATTTTCTTCAAAAGTAGCGTGGGCTCTTTTATCCCCCTTCTCTGGACCCAACAAGATAAAAATTTCGATGAGAATTCAGTGACACTTCAAGTCTGCTTTCAAATCAAACCTTGCAGCCGTTAATCATCATTAAGTGAAGCAGACCAAAGGTCTTGACTTCACTCCGGAGCATGTGTTCCATTTGTGGCGTGATTTATGTATGATTTAAGTATGACTGCAGGGGACCAATGCATCAGGAGTTGATGCCACTGCAGTAATAGAATATAAAAGGGCTGTGCACTTTGTAGCAGCAATCACTACGTTTTTTGGTCAGGAAGATAGCTCCCAACTAAGTGCCAAAATTGGTTACTTGTGTATACAGTCCCTGTAACCAGCTGTCTCTGCTGAATTAAACCGATTGCGAGATGCCTGTGTTTGATAGTGATGTCTTTTAATTCACCTAATATGGTCAAGAGCTCAGTTCTATATTTGTCGCCCACTTCTTCCATTTTCTTCATTTGAAGGGAGAATCATTTGTTGTAATTGCCACATTTGGTGTATCTTCTAAATGATGTTTTGCACCTTTAAGAACTGTGTACTCAAGGTATTGGTTTGTAAAGACTTAATAGTTTGTTTGCCTTGCATAGTGTTTCTGGATTTTAGCCTTGCCTTTGGGAATTACATACATGATTTCATTTGACTTGCTATGGAAACTGAAAACCAATGGTTTCCTTGTCCTGACACAGGCCTCACATCCTCTGACCTATAAATTGTCGGTAATCTCACAATAAAACCACAGTACCCTTCCCACCTTCTCATCACTGTTTTGTTCACTATGAATGTTGTGAATAATAGAGGTTTTGAGTGCATTGCCAGCATGAAAACCTGCATAGAGATGTGTACAGAGAGGTTGTAAGATAAATGTGTGGTTCTGACTTGCTTTTGTGTCTGAGCTGAAGGATTCTGTAGCTCATTCAGGTTGCTCATAATTCTAAAGCTTCAGTCGTGATGTTGGCTTAATCTCTTAGTTATCCACTTCTGTGTATATATTCCATGCTACCAATAGTTCAGTACATTTGCAATGTAGGTACATTTCAGCATTTTATCTCTGGTTTCATTGTCTTTTTCTCCTTCGCCTCTTAAAACAGAAAAGCTCATTGAAGGTCTGAAGTCTCCTGAGACTTCATTTCTGCTCCCTGACCTTTTACCTCTCGGTGACCCCTTTGGCAGTACTGAGGATAATATCAATGGTAAAAAAACAAGTTTGCAGCTGCAGTTTTTTTGATGTGCATGATCATATTGTAGGAATCTGGAGTATTTTCAGCCGTTAAAGATTGACCCCCTTCAACATTAGTGTCAAGAAATGTGACACTTGATGAGTGTATAAAAATTGAGTGTCTGCAACTGATTTTTCAATGTCCTTCTTAACTTCTGTCTGGAGATGTGTCTCCCCACTGTGTATGAAAACCGTTTCATTCAAAGGCTCTGTGTTTGAGCTGGTCAGCTGCTAAGGTAAAATACGTCATTGGTTCTGCCCATGAAATGGCCAGTCTGGCCACACAACTGCTGCGGGCTTAGTGCATTCTCTCCAATCAGTTGCTTAAAATATCCGTCGTCCATATTGGGGTTTGAGGTTGAAAATTCTCTTGGTCCCAATCGTTACACTTCCACTGAATCGGCCCATGCTTTTGTTTCTGTGACTGTGTGTGCATCTTGTGGTTCTTGTGAGCTTCTCACCTCGTTCTTCATTTCCATTGTGCAGCTCTGTCCTGTAGAGGCAACTGTAGTCCAAACTGTTTTGAAATAAACCATGTTAAGTGTTTCGGGGAATACCTAGCTGCAGCAGTGGAGCATGTATCAGATTGTGCCTTGTGCCACGTGGCAACTTAGTTAGTGATAGCTTTTCCAGCTGACAAAACTATGACTCTAACTTCTCATTTAACACAAAAGAAGTGTCCGTTACTGATGAGTTAAGTTGTTCTCTGACTTGATACTGTTTGCCAGCAAGTGATGCAAGTTATTTTTCAGAGCAGTAACAATCTCTTGGCCTTCCATATCCAATTCATCTGTTTGTGCAGTACCCGTTTAAAAATCCACCGATTAGCCACAGTACCTTACAGAATGCTGGTTCTCTGCAACCCTAGTTTAAATGTGGAACTCTGGTTTTTTGAGCCAAATAATTTTTTTGCAGCTTATAGAAGAGTTCTGATGTACTAATGATATCGGTAGAGTTCAGTTTTAAGCTTTATCAGAGTACTTTTATTGTTAGCGTTAACTATCCAAAGGAATTTAGTTGCCGCATCTGCATTTTTAATAATAGTACAAAGATTTAAGGCGCTGTTGTTGAAAAGTGCAAACTATCTGTAATTACTTAGAGCTTAGCTAATTTTCCTTCGCACTCTGTGGCAGCTTGGCAGTGTTCTTGATACACCTTAACAGTTCTTTTTCTGTGTGCTCGCCTTTTTAATTGTCTGTTTGTGCTTTGGTTAAAAAGGAAAAGCTGAGATAGCGGTTGGAAATCTCATACCTGGATTTGAGCCCTCAAAGCCTCAGCAACTGCCTCCAGTGCAGGTGGAATCTTTAAGTGTTGTGGCCGCAAAAAATGCCGCAGGTTGGTATGTCCAGTGCAGTTCATCTCAGCCCCTGTTGTAACCACCACAACGTGCAATGATGAATGTTTTATCTGTTATTTTCTAGTTGGCAAGTTAACATTTTGAAAACCAATCACTGGCATACACCAATCTTGCCGAAATTTGCGTTTGCACTTTCCTCGCCAAATTTAAACTTGCCTTTCTGCCTTTTAATCAGTCTTCTCTCTCACTCCTCTTTCTCAGTATTAGTGGTTTTGGTGGAATTTAACCTTTGGTCAACAGGAAAGCAAAAAATAGCATTTATCATGTGCTTTTAGTTCATAGATTAGTGTTGAGCAAAGTAAAGGGAAGGTAGTGGCATGCAACTCTGTCATTTCTAAGTCAGGTTTCAGAGTGCACCCACATTGAAACTGCAGCATTGGTGCTACAGTCATGGAAAAGGGACGACTGACGCATGATTCAAGAGAAAGATTCAGGAGTCATTTACAAGTGGGAAAGGAGTTGGCGTTGTGCTGTGACTTGGGAAAGGAGGTTAACAGGACAGGATTGTGAGGGTTATTAAGCGACAGATGGTTTGGATTTTGGAGTGCACATCTTGAAAGGGTAGTGGATGCAGGTTGGCCTTCAAAGGGCATGAGATAAATGCTTGAAGGGGAGTACATTTGAGGGATATGAGCCAACAGATGGAGCTGGGATTACTGGGCATGCTGTTAGAAAGAGCTGGCACAGATTCAGTGGACTTATGACCTCCCTCTCGGCTATACTTCTTGCTGACTCCCAAGAGACGTAGCAGTTGTAAGTAGGTTGGGAAGGTGGAGAAGACTGATGCTGGAGCAGCCAAGTATGCATGTGGGGAAACATTGATTGGAGAAGTTTTCTCCAGGGAGGGCTTCATAACTAAGCGTTCAAGTATTAAAATCTGAATTGATTCGAAATATCATCATTTTTGGATAGAAAGATCATCTTTCATTTTGTTTGTTCTGAAAGTAAAATAGGAAAATTTGAACTTGATTTTTACTATCTTTACCTTGTCATCTGTGCAATTTTGGGTCACTGTTTTTGCAGTCATTACTCCGCTGCTGAGCAACATCAGAAGAGTTCAATTGGCTGCACGGTCAATGTCATACATGAGCATGCATTTAAGGCTGTGTTTGTACTGTGCCTGCCCACCCAAGGTCGAGAGCAATATTGTCTGTTCCAGCCGCACAGTGTGAAGCGAGGTTATCTAGCTTAACATAGCTCATAAGCATTGTGCACATTTGTGGTTTGAATCCGGAGACAGCAAGGTTGGACGTCCTCACTGTCTGAACATTTCAAACAGCAGTAACTGGGTTTTATTTACAGTTAGCTATGGGGTTCTACGACTTACTCACCCAGGCATTGCACTTGCGTGAGTCTCAAAGTGGTGTTAAATTGAAGCAACGTTACTTTTGCTGTGATGTTGAAGTTCCAAATTAAAAACATCTTGGACACTTGATCTGAATCGTACATGTTGCATCAGTTGTTCTACTTGCAACACTTATATTGCGGGATAGTTATCTCCGTATTGAGACATGTAAGAAAAATGAGGTTCGAAAAGGATTAACTCGAAGGACAGATTTTCAGTGTTATGGGAAGACTCAGTTGGGCTCCTGCAGGTCGAATTTCTGCTGTGATCCAAATGTTACCACTTTGTCGTACACAATATTCTGAAAATGCCAAGTACAGTTTCAGACAGGTGACATACTGCAATGTCTTTTGATGAAGGAAATTAATGATGCAAGCCTGGGCAGTCATGAGCCTGCTGTTAAGAATTTTTCAGTGTTGTTTTTTTCTCTGAAGTTAGAATATGAGGAAGAAATATAACTCTAATTAGATTGTATTTCCCAGGCCCTCCCCCAGCCCCCCCCCCCCATACACAGACTTTCATTTGTTGAGTAACTAACCATTTAACTAACCATTTGCTTTCTTTTTTGTTCTTTCTCTTTCTGCTTCTCTGACTTGCATCTCCAACTGTTGAACTTTGCTAAGACTCTCTCACCGGAGAGGACTCCATTCTTGACTATTCTCTCCTCTCTAACCCAGTGACTGAAATAATTGATGAATTTACTCCTGTAATTTCATCTGGTCAGGTTAAGCCAGGTAAGGACACCTAGTCCTGTATTTTACTTCTTCAGAGCGTGAGCTTTTTAGTCTTGGCACTTTTGATTTCCTCCTGTGGCTTTAGTCTATTCCAGATCTTTTATAAGAAAGTCACATGCTGTAGCTCGAAGCTGTGGGAGGAATTTATTTTAAGATTTTTGAGCAATCTGCTTTGTTTTGCACAATAGAAGCTCCCAAAAAATTGGAATTTAATGTTTACCTACTGGCATGGGAGAGAAGAGTCTGAGTCTATATGTTTACCAGGATTTTAATTAAAACTGGGACTGTGTTGCTGTGACAATTCTGTATATGTTGATGATTTTCTATGGCTTTTACAACAGACAACTGCAAACTCTGTTTATTATTTTCTGACTTGTATTCAGTACTGTGCCGTTGTGACTTGTTAGTAGGGCTTTCCATCTTAAATAAGTTCTGTCTCTTTATTCTGAGGAGCAGTTATCTCCAAATAAAGATGCTCATTGTTTCTGCTCTTCAATACAGATCCGTGTGCTAATGGCTTCTTAGAATCTCTGCATTGGATTTTGTTAGACTGATCCAGTTTTAGTTTCAGTTGTGTTAGCTGAATAGCCAAACAATTGACAGATGAATCAGAGGCAGTGACTCCATTTCTTTCTTCTTCCCACACTCCCTTCTAAACAACAAACTTAAAACAAGTCCTGGACGGTTTCAAGCAAGGTCAAAAAATGCTGACTTGAAGGAACTTTGAGTTGCTAACTGCATTTGAGACAAGAGTCAAAAGGGGAGACAACGAATGAAGAATATATTCATGTTCTTCGAACCATGAGTCTTCTTCCTCATATGCAGATGGCCTCAAGCAGTGTGGAGTTCACCTGTCCTGAAGGCTGATTAAATACAAGCTGGGACAAAAAATACTTCGCTTGGTTATTTGGCTAAGTTTTTCCTTTACCTCATTGGAGCTTCCTAGACTGGGCAAGCTGCAAGGGTGCAAAAGAATGGTGGTGGTTTGTTAAAGACAATGTGTCTTTACCCACTGCTTGGCTTTTCAGACGTGGTTTTATCATGAATAATTATCTGTCTTTGGTTTGTACTGCAGCAATCACCCAGCAATGTCAAGGAAGGCGATATCATGCCTTGTATCCAGGAACATTGAGTCCCCAACTGTTCATTTCCTGATTGCTCCTGCATTAGGCCTGCTATTGCTCCAAGAGAAAATGTGCCCTTGTTGCAATAAAGGGCAGCAGAGAATTCATCTGTCTGAAGAGACAGGTGATGCCGATTAACAGGAAATGATTTGGAGAAGAAATTGTGGATTTGTCCAAACTTTTGAAGGATTTTGATCGAGTAGATCAAGGAAAACTGCTTTGACTGGCAGGAAAGTTGGCATCCAGAATGCACAGATAGGAGAGAAAGGGGAAAGCAACCAGACGGAGCTGAGAATTCTCACTATGCAATGCATTTTTGGGGTCGAAAATATGCCAAAAGATTTGTCGGTACCATTCAAAGGAGTTTGAGTCACTAATTATAATGAAACAAGGTTGGAAAGCAAGGGTTGGTAGGGGAAGAGCAGCAGGTAGGACTGACTGGATAGCTCTTTCAAAGAGTTGGTGCACACATGGTTGACTATTTGGCCTCTTTGTGCGCTGTATCTTTGAACGAATCACTAATTTGCCAGGTGTCTCTGTTTCAGTCCCATTCCCCTTAAGTTAATGTGAAAGTAGCTTTGAATGTCTGTGCAAAACTCAGACTGGGAACAGTATCTGACAGTACACCCAGAGGCTACAGCAATTTATTTATATAAACGCCAGTTGCCCCCCACTTAAGATCATAGATAGGTGTGTCCTTTGACCTCTGTGTGATCTTTCATCCTTTCACCTGTCGAAAAGACGATCGTTGCTGTAATCTGTCCTTGAGTCAAAGGCACCATCTTATGCTTGTGGAAACAGTGTTGGAGTCTGATCCGGTGCTTGTGTGTTTATGAGGTTTAGCGGCTATACTGTCCCTTTGCCCTGTCTGTGTCTCACCCAAAGTTAAAGAATTTTATGCACAGATTTTTGCTGCAGAGGTGAGGTGTAATTATTGGTAATGTAAGCTTCACAGTGACTTACAGTGAGTGAGATAGAAAATGCTTCAGAGACTGAACAAGGCTGGCAATGCTGGTGTTGAGAGAAATAAAGTTAACATTTCAGTTCAGTAAGCTTTTAGTTCAGATGAGAGATCACCTGTCTGAAATGTTAGCTCTCTTTCTCCCTCTCTCTGCAAATGTTGCCTGACTGCTAAGTATTCTGTTTTTCTTCCGTGTTTCCAACGTCTGCAATATTTTGATTCTGTGTGAGTGAGAGAGGGTGTGGAAGGCAGGCAGACAGGTTACACATTTCTAGATGCATCTTTCTTAAATTCTGCAGCTTGCAAATTCCATGTAGAGTGCCAGTTAGTGTAGTGAGTCAGCACCCACATGCAATTGGGTGAATGTATGGGTCCAAGCTCTCTTCATGTTGAGTCATGAAGGCCAACAGAAAGAAAAGATTGAAAACTTACAAATCCAAAGTCTACATTGAGGTCTTGTTTTACAGATGATATGACAGTTTAAGGCAGAGGACTCCCAACCTTGGCAAAAATAAATGCACTGTATGAAATGGCAGTTTTGCTGTCACAGTCTGACCTAGATACTTAATATGGGGAATTGAAATGGCAGCATTCCTGAATATTTAAAAATGATTTGTCAGTTTAATCTTTTCAGCTGCAACGACTTCATGCTTGGAATTGTTTTACCTGAGCATCATTATTCACAATATTGTGTAAGGAAACATTATGTGCAGATATTGTATTACAAACTGCATTTCAAAATCTGAAGCATTCAAAGAGTTATACATTGACAGACTGAGCCAGTCACAGAGAATGGAGGCTTGTGCATGCAGTT